ATTTATGTCATGCATGGTGAGCATTTATTTAAAAACAGAAGCAAGAGGAGGATGGATAATACAAACGGGTTATACATGCTATAAACCACTATTACACACTACTTTAACATAGTACGAACTTGATTAACACACAATTATCTATGGTATATAGATTGAGTTAATTTTGACATGATACAGTTTACACACATGGCCATCCCTAACTGTCATACCTACATGTGGTATAAACGTGTGAAAAAACGCGTTATCCCCAAGGATTAGAACAAGGTTTAAGATGAGGATGAATAAGATTCATTGAAGTTATAGTCTTGACTGTGCAAGTCTATGTTAATTAATCCCATTCATGACGTCTTTGTCTGATATGTACCACGAAACATACATCCAACATAGTAAAGTCGAGTGTTAATTCCAATACTTAAACAACGTTTGTGGAAAAATGGGTTCCCAGTTCGTGGAGTTTTGGGTTTATTTAACAGAAAACTGTTGGCTGCTTCTTCCATATAAAACACGGTTCAACTATAATACTAAAAAATTATTTTTCGAAATCATACGTTTGTCATTTTTGAATAAAAATGTGACACAATTTAAAGTTACATTGTTTTATATCACAACCAGTTGTTACAAATGAATCGAAGTATCAAATAAGATCTAGAGCTGAAAATTCTTTTCAGTATAGCACTGAAATTTTTTTAAGATACTGTAGGAGATATATTCGCGCGTTCGGAATGTCCTCCCCCTATCGAAGGATTTTGACTGACCTGGCGTAAGCCTACGCTTTGTGCCAGTAGCCTTTATCTCTCGGTCTCCGCAGGCACGCTTGTCCCACATCGACGGAGAGTCATCTCCCCCCCTCGCATATAAGTCTTGGCATTATATGGAGGTGGTACCCACTAACCACTTGATCAAGCGTGTCCACGGAGACCGAGAGGTAAAGGCTACTGACACAAAACGTACGCTTATACTAGGGAAGCTAAAATCTTTCGGTGGGGGGAGGACATTCTGAACGCGCGAATAAATTTCCTACAAAAAGGTGCATTTTTGTAGGGGATTTATCCGCGCGTTTGGGATGGATCAAGTGCTAGTGGGTATCACCTCCATATAGTGTCAAGGCTTATAAGCGAGGGGGGGAAACGAATCTCCGTGAATGTGGGACAAGCGTGCTTGCGAATACCGAGAGATAAAAGCTACTGGCACGGATAAATTTCTTACAAAAAGGCGCCTATTTGTAGGGAATTTATCCACGCGTTCGGGATGGATCAAAGTGCTAGTGGGTACCATCTCCATATAGTGTCAAGGCTTATAAGTGAGGGAGGGAGACGACTCTCCGTTGATGTGGGACAAGCGTGCCCGCGGATACCGAGAGATAAAGGTTACTGACACAAAGCGTAGGCTTACGCCAAATCAGCCAAAATTCTTCGATGGGAGGAGAACATTCTAAACGAGCGGATAAATCCCCTAAATGTCATACACTAACCCTTTAAATAATAGTATACAAATTGTTAGAAATATATGGAGTGGGCCACTGAGTAAGCTTTTTTTTCTTTTTTTTGGCTGGTTGACCGCTGAGTAAGTTGAGCTGGTGTTGCACAATCCTAAGCTGGATATGGAGGAGGACATGTTGGCTCTATGCTTCACTACATGACAAAGTTTGAAGAGTGTCCTTCGATGGAATATAGAGGCAACTTATATTTTGCATTTACTAGAGAGCCACTTGGACTATTTCAAAGATATACAAGTGTCTCTTGGGTTGTGATCGGTTCTTCTATAATATTTTACGAATAATGTTATTTAAACATAAAAATTTAACCTAATTTACTGAATAATGATGTGATTTTATAAAAATCATTTGATCAACATCAAATTTCAATGTTTAATTGGTCCTACAGTCAATCTAAATGTCACAATGAATTAGGTCAACAAATTATATTAGTAAATTAGATCCAATAACTTTGCTCATATTTTATTATCGAGTCTTGTACACTATCATTTGAGATTGTAAAATAGTCAGATAAAGATAGATGACTCACTAAGAATAAAAACGAAGAACAAAAGTGTTGGGGAGATCTGAATTTGTGTGAGAGATGTGAGATGAGATAATTATAGAGAATTATGGGTAGTTAAAGAGTGTTTCTAGGTATTTTACATGCTTGTGGACACCAACCTTTATACTCTCCCTTTATAATAAGCTAGATTTTTAGACGAATCTAGGTTCGTTTGGAGCAATGTTCTTTGAGAACACTTTGAACCAACTATAACACAACATGACATAAATAATATAAAAAACTCGACATGAACTAATAATTCTTAACTCAACATATAAACATAATACAAAATCAACTGAAAGTACGAGAGATTTGTTTAGTTTAACAGATTTTAGGTCATAATAAAGTTCACCTAGTAATCTAATTAATAAACAAATTATGTATAATTTGGACCAAATTTAATACAGAATCTATCCGACACAAACACTCGATACGACACAACTCATTCCAAACCCTTGATGAAATAATAGCGCATGGGATGTCCGCCCTCTTTGAGAAAGAACAATTTGTTGACTTGTTGAAAAGCATTGTAACCTCCGATTTGCTAATTGATGAAATTTTTACATTAACTTATTGCCGCATCGCAGTTATGGGGCCTAAAGGGATCATAACCTCTTCCAATAATCAATTACTCTATCTACAAATTTAACCTTAATGCTGAAGATTACTTTTTAAAATTATGGCAAATTGTACTTTGTATTTTAAAAGATTTTAAAATTTTTATTTTATATCTTTAAAGATTAAATTTTTCATATTACACCCTCAATGTATTAAAAGTGTTGTAATGTGATTTTTTTATTAACTTTTCGTTAATTTTTTTGTCAGTGTCAATAGGTTGGTTTTTGATAGAAAAAAAATAATGAAAATTAACAGAAAGACTATATTACAACACTTTTGATACATTAAAGGTATAATGTAAAAATTTTAATCTTTGAGAGTATAAAATAAAAAATTTTAAATTTTTCAAGGGTGTAAAGTGCCAAAAAAACCCTTTAATTTAATATTACAAGGTCATTGGATATGCGGTGACTTGGTGACAAAAACACATAATAACAAGAGTGACGACCATTTTTAAGTTTTTTTTGTTCTTCTGTTGATTAGATTTTCTAGTTGGTTTGTCTTGAAGAACACTGAGATTTAACTTATTGTGAATGTATTATTATTTATTATATTATAGAAAAATATAAGATATAATAAATAAGAAAATCGATTGCAATGTATTTCTCTTAAAGATTTGCCTACAGATACACTCCCAAAAGACATAATACCCTTTTGTTATTTGCTTATATCGACAAATCATTGTTGATTAGCATTAGGGAACCGTTGATAATAGACGTTGGTTGACGTGGCTTGAATCACTTCTTTGTCTAGTAGATTTTTGACGAGTCCTATCTTACTTTCTTATTCTAATGAGCAAAATTTTGACATCAATAGTTTTAAAGTCCTTGTGTATGCGGAGAGCTGGTGACAGAAGTATCTAACAAGCTTGAGATCAATTCTAAGCTTTGTCAAATTCAAACTTGTACCAAACTAGTGTTTTCATAACTAGGTTATGTTATTGATGGTGCTCGAGAGACAGGAATATGAGAGAGAGAGAGAGAGAGAGAGAGAGAGATTTAAGGTAGTGATGGTGGAAATGTGAATGCTACTTGGGTGTGTTGTGCGAGCTAAACAAATTGACAATAGAAATTGGATAACTCGAGAAATATATTGTAGTTCATCAACTGAAAATTTTGGTTAATCTACTCTAAAGGAGTCTCTTGTTCTGGGGGTTTCTATTACCTTTTGGGGGCAGAAGGCGGTTACAATTTCATCTGCTTTTTTTAAGCTAGGTTTTTCTTTTATATTTCCTCGGTAGAGTGGCCCTCAAGTCATTATGAATAGTCTCTCAATCTATTAGAATATTAGAGGGAATATTAGATTGTTAGAGGACTACTTTCTAGCACTAGTAATCTCTCAAGCATTAAGTGACATAGCACTAGTAATTTTATTCTTAAATAAGATCTAGAGATGGGCATAACTCTTTGTCTCTCTTCCTCTCATGGCCAATGTCATTTCAATTTGTGACTTGTGTCTAGACTGAGGTGACTTATCTTTTTCTGCTGTCAAGTGAAGTCATCTTTTAAGACGACTTTATTCTTGGATTATCAGTTATAAAAGAGGAAATCATTGTAGCACTCTATAGCAGTGTTACGGAACCCAAGACCAAAGTGTTCCTATAGTCGATACCCTTTTGAGTTGTGCAGTTGTTTTCAAATGGGATGGTCTTGGTAGTCTGTTTGGATTCATTTGAAGGTAAGTTGGTGGTTAGAAACGTTTGGTGCTGCACTGTGGCCTACTCAGAGGGTTTTAAGTTGGTTTGGTTCGAGATTTCCTACAAACTGCCTTTAGTATCACACAAATCGGACAAAAATTCACTCTATAAAGTTAAAAAATCTTGAGCTCGAGATACCCTTCAGCTAGGGATCTTACAACCCATATTCAGAAATGGCCTTCATATCTAGCTGGTGTTGGTTAAAAGGGAATGTATACACAGTTCACTTTATTAAGAATAATGCTACAATGACCAAATTTAGAGTGCAAATAATATGACAGTTGATTAACTTTTATTGGTATCCAAATAACATGACACCAATCAAAAAAATCAAAAAAACCTAGCATTACTGCTTTATTAATCTTCGAAAACACTACTTCTTTCCGGGAGGGAACAATTCTTTCATTGCACAGCTTTGGAAGACAAGGATGATGCCAATCCCCCCAACCCAGACTCCGCAATAATGAGTTTATTATCTCGTACATTAGGTACACCCTTCTTCGTCACTCACCAAAATCAATTAGCTGTATTTGACGTAGCTATTCAGTTAGAAGGATAGCTATCTGGGAAAAAAAGGTCAACACTTTGCACAAGAAACTAAATTTTCCTGCAAAACAAGAAATAATTCCAAACTCCTTTCTCCAAACTGTAAGCTTCATTTGCTCGAAGGAAAGATAACCACTAGCTTTTACCATGCTAATGTCATTCATTAAAAGTGAAAAAAAAAACCCAAAAACAAAAACCAAATACCATAAATTCCTTTCCCTACGAAACTGAATGCCTCCCTTTTCTGGAAGGAGTGGATTTAGCTGCTGCTTCTGGATTAGCAGAACCAAGGCTCTCCGATGAATCCGAACCACTATTCTCAATCAGGGCCCTTTTGTTTGACAACAATTTTGAAAAGATTTTCTTTGACATAAGCAACCCTTTCATTTTACCTATTGCAGTGTTGTCAGCATTACTTTTACCACCACTTCTCTCACTCCCTCCTCCATGGCCTAACCTTAAGGCTGCTAACTCACCCCTCAACGCCCTAAGCTCTTCTGCTGTTGCCACAGCATCCCACTCTTCTTCGGTGTTGGTTGTTGCCGATCGTGAGCTCCCATGGGAGCCACTATTAAGATCTTTAATGGCTTTGGGAAGGTCAGGAGTGCTGCTGCCAGATGATGCAGCAGCCCTTACTTGCTCGAAAAAGAGCACCTGCACAACAACTCTCAAGGGGAGTCTCTCATTTTGTACAGCATGCATGCATGCATCAACAGATAACTTCTTGCAGTCCATCAGCCTGCATATCCTCTTCCTCTCACTCTTGCTAATCCCGGGGTGTTCCTGCAGCACAAAGGAAAAAATTGATCAAGAGATGATGTATTAGCAACAATTGCTCAATCATATAAAATTACAGTAACTACAAAACTATCCAGATACCAGTCATTGAATGCAAGTGTAGTAGAAGTTGAAAAATGGTGGGTTACAATTTGTTTCTTGAAGATTTGTTATTCATTCAAAGCTTAATTCACCGCAACTTATGTGAATAACTGCTTCGATAAACAGCAGAGTTCTCATTAAAACAAGTTTCTAGTGCAAAATGCAAATTACAAAACAACATTCCCTCATGCTATATTCTTATATTTTATCATGAAATTATGCAAGCATATACCCCATCAAAACTCCAAATATGAGTGTGCTTATATACAAAGAAAAAAGTGAACTTTGAAGAACTCTTACCTTAAGATACATGTCAATGGCCCGATAAAGTCCATCGTGAGCAGGCCGCGCAAAACCAGACACCATCTCTGCGACATCAGCAAAAGTTGCCAAAGGTAGATTAGGATCTTTTGCAATTTCAGTGAGGTACCCATCAACGAGCTTTGCCACCATCAACTTGGATGCTTCTGATAAAATCCCTGGCCTTCTTATCTCCTGAATCTCACGGCTCTCCTCTAATTCACCTTCGGCATTTTTATCCTGTATCAAAAACACCTCCAGTATTTTCTGGACTATATTAACATCATACACGGTTGTTTCCCCATCCTTTACTTGTATCAAAAAATCATTAACAGAAGCCTCCTCCAATTGCTGCCCTATTTTTTTCACTAGTTCTCCCTTAACCATTTCTCCTGAATCCATGGAAACGGCTGCTTTTAACAACTTGAGCATGAAACCACAAGAGACGCTGCCTTTCTCAGAAGGCAACAGCCACACGATCGTATCCACTATCGAACGAGTCTTCAGGACATCGCCACACTGAATAATACCCTTACTAAATCCTGGCAATCTTCTCAGGGCATAAGCTTTCAAAGCTTTTCCAATCACTTCACTAGAAATTATCCCTTTGTCCTTTATCATTACAATTAACCGTTTGTATAAATCTACTTCAAGCTCACACAAGTCCTCAACCCACCAATCCTTGGGCACCACCCGGCTTTTGATGCTATTCCAGTTAGAATCATTCCCATTTTCCTCTGGTAGCATTTTTTGGCTGTAGGTATAGGACCAGTCCACCTTGGAAACATCAACAGAAGCTCTGGAAGTAATAGAATCAATGCAGTGGCTGACCAACTTCAATTCCTCAGATAAAGGTAATAGTAACTTCGTAGTCTGAAGAACTATGATAGAATCCTTCCAGCTTCGGAAAATACTGAAGTTGAGAAAAACATCCACCTTGTAGATGAGGTTCCCTTTTTCAAGTGTCTCATTCATTCCTAGGTATTCTGCCGCACAACGTGCTGCAATAACGTTGTAAGCATTTAAGGTGACTGTAATGCCATAACAGAACTTGGCACATATTTCGAAGGCAGCAGGACCACCTGGAATGTCATGAATGTGGACTTCGTCTTCATTTCCTTCATTTGTGGTGGCAACCAACTTTTGCAAACGGGCACTCTTGGACAAAAGTGGAAACTGCATAACCAGTTTTATCAGTCCATCAGAATTACACAATGGCTATGCAAAGCCAGGGACAAATTACAATAAATCAGCAACAGATATGAGGCACTCAGCAATTAACTTAAGTTATTTTCTTGTTCGATAACTATTTACTTTAAAACAGAATTTCATCAATGACTTCAGCAAAATGACAAATGGTTTCCAAGACAACAGTACAATATCATACCTTCCTCGGGCATGATTCTACCTTTGACTCATAAGCACTTCAATGGCTTACATATGATCCAGGATGAGCTGCCTATCTCAGATGCTGTCACCTTACATTTTAAGTGACCAGTAGTTTGTGACTCACAAAAACATATCAAGTTCTTAAAAAAGTCTTTGGTCCAATGGTACTCCTTGTCTTGTAAAAACTTTGCTTTCTTGAGACCAAGGGTTCAAGTCCCCCCTCCCCCTCCCCCTCCCCAAAAAAAAAAATTCTAAAAAAATGGTTACAAAATCAATGTGGTTTGAATAAGCTGAAGCAACGAGTCTAAGCACATCAAGAGATGAAACAAAGCAAGGTACAGGTATAAATGGGTCTGAAAATATGAATTCCAAAATAACACTAGATAGCCACAAGCATCAGGAGGCCAGACATGGCAAAATATTGCTGAAATAATTATTCTAATTACAATGAAAAACACAAGCACACGGTACAAGATCATCATACCTTGTGCAAATAAAACCTCACATCCCCAACTTTAACCACAATGTCGGTTGCCAACTCAGTAGTCACGTACCTGCACATGTAAATTTTCTCTGGTAATATACTATTGGTGGAAATTCAAAGATTATATACATTGAACAATTACAACTGTAAAATACTACATCCTAATCCTTGACAGCCCAGATAGGTAGTTTATTGTCTCAGTTATTTGAGGGAATTTTTTTTTGGTGGATGTTCTTAAAATGCATAACTACTTAAGCTGGTTAAGAGGAGAAAAAGATTAGTGCAATTTCAGTATTCCATATAATGAAGAAGTGAAATAATGGCATCAATGTACTTTACCTTGCACTGCAATACCATTCCGAATCTTTAAATAAAAAGAGCGATTCACGGGAAACTTAAAAACTTTTCCTTTTGTCAATTTCAAGGGCAGGATTTATGAGTAATCTTACTTGCTCATTTAGACATAATCCTTAGAAGTCTAGTGTAGCTATTAATACAAAGAAGTTCGGCTATTGACATACTTAGTCAGCACCACAGTTTAGCATTATTAGTTACCATTAGGTTGTATCTACGGAAAAAAAACCAGCCCTGCAATCTGAAATATTAGCAATTCTCAAGATAATCTCATTATAAGGTAACTAGACATAGTTGTTACACCATCTTGTATGTAATCTTTATTTTTAAGATCACATGTTGGACCCCAGATCCCTCCCTTCAAACACCAAATAATTCTTTGGTACATCCAACATAAAAGATCGTAGACACTATTATCTACATTTACACAAATTCCCTCTTTGAATGAGCAAAACCAATTTATGGAAAGAAATTATCACCCCAAACAAACAAGATTGAGAATTATTGCAGAGCAAATGTTGTACATCTTGTTTGCATACTAAGCCAAATCATACCCTCCCATTAACAAACAATTCTTACAACAGTTAAAGTTCAAGTTAGCAAGCATGACAACAAAAGATGGTATCCAAGGACAAGCCTATTTGTGCAATTAACAGAAAAGGATGGACTCATAACGATGGGACCAACATGAGACAATCTGACCATGCCTTCGTTACAAAGGTATTTCCAAAGAAAATTTCAAAAACACTGATGAGTAATCTGAGTATTCCAACAGTTAAAGTTCATGTTAGCAGGCATGACAACAAAAGATTGTATCCAAGGACAGCCTATTTGTGCAATTAACAGAAAGGAAGGACTCATAACGATGGGACCAACATGAGACAATCTGACCATGCCTTCGCCACAAAGGTATTTCCAAAGAAAATTTCAAAAACACTGATGAGTAATCTGAGCATTCCATAAACCAATAGGCCAACAGTTTCACTCTACCCTCACAAAAACTTAAAAAACCTAAGTATTTCAATCCAAACCCGGCAGATTTCTAATGGCCCCACTCATGCTAAAAGAGGAAAAACTGACAACATCACCTGAAGTATCAAACAGAGAAAATGACAAATTATATCTTGGGCAAGAACATGGACTCGGTTGAACAAACTATGAAGAACCAACCAGGCTACCAAGCCAGCATTCATTTTACTTGAAAGTGTAAAATTTCCTTTTCAGGAAACAAGATGTGCTTAGCAGTACCAGTGGTAACCCAACAAGAACTAACTTAGTTAGTTTGTTACATAATGTTGACATTGTTGCTGCGCATTCTTAAAGGACAGAAAATTTTTTGGTGCCCCAAACAAGCTATACAAAGTTAGAACCCAAATGGCATGCTGGTACAAAGCAGGATTATGCTGATTAAAGTGGAAACATCAATTGCAATAATGCCCAAATTGATCTTATCAGAAGGTTACTAACTAATTTGATTCTAAGAAAGATCTTACCTGACATTATTCCCATCAGTCTGAAACGAATCAGGCTTCGATCCAAGTTTCATGAACTTCATCCTGGCAACTGGACGATCTACTTCTCCTTTGATACCCAAAACTAAACTTTCCCACCACTCAAATCACTTCAAAGTTAACCCCAAAGCACTCGCTATGTTACATCCCCAATAATCAAACATAACCCCCCCTTCGAGGAATAGAGTCCAGAAATGGAAAAAAAACCAACCCAGGGGTGGGGACCAAATTTCTGATTATAACCAACTTTCAGGACTTCAAGGAAAGGAAATGGGATCTCAAAGAGGGGAATGATACATGCTTCGTATGACCGAATCTTGACAGCAACCAAGGCAGGACCAATTAGTGTGTATGTGAGAGAGAGAGAGATGGGGTTTTACATTTTTTAGAGAAGGTTCAGTTGAATGGGAAGAGAGCTAGAGAAAAGGTTGTTTCCTTGGTCGACGGCAAAGCCCATGTAGTCCGGGCTCACTCAGTCAGCTGAGGAGACATATCCTACAGATTCTCAACACTAAAATATTGTCAAAACCAAAGACACGCACAAGCCCCTCTCTCTCTCTCCCCCCTATATATTTAAGGCTAAAAGGTTCATACCACCAGAAACCCTGGTGCTCTTTACAGTTTCAAGTTCCCAAAAAAATTATATATATTAGATATAAATCTGGCTGTTTATATTTTCATCTCACAGCTGAAGTTTGAGCAACCTGCAAAGGGAAAAAAGCATCTCGGTATCAGTTGTAGAAGCCACCAAAACGGTAGACAACAAGCATCTCTCTTTATAGTTTTTGCAAGGTAAAGGAATAACTGACGGCATCAAAATATATATATATATATATATATATATATATATATATATATATATTAATGCAACAATCCAGTATCGCCAACCAACAAAATCTGAAGAACCCAAGAGACTCATCTCATGAATATCAAAAATCTAATTAAAAATGAACTCGTGATCATCATATGATGTAAATCAAAGGAAAATTCTTGAAACCCACATGAAATAATCAGAATATGCTCAAAATCAACTTGTAATCACTAGACAATGCCCAAAATCCACTCTCCACGTAATCCCCAACAAAACCCAAGATTTATCAGTTACATGAACTAATTTAGAAACACAAGAAACCCAACTCAAATAGTAAAATCAACAAAAGTTCATATGGAGAGAGAGAAAATACCCAAAATGTTATGTAGAACTCATTTAACACCTCTTCAAAGATACACTATGACCTTGTGCATGAGTTAGTCTATAGCTAGAACCAAACCATTATGTCAGAATCCAAGAAGGCAAGGCACTACCAAGACATACCCATCAGAGAACGAGTTGTTTCTAGTAATTTTCTTAGCTAAAAAAATGACACAAAACACAACAAAAACCAGTGACACAAACAAGCCAACTTTTGCTGCTAGTGCTTACCAGTTCTGTTAGAATCGGCACTACCCACTCTTTCTGAAGAGAATTTTCCCCTTTTCTTTTTCTCAACAAGGACAAAAGGAAAAGTTAAAACCCACTGCAAAAATTCGTTCTTTAAATGGTTTCTTTTTACTCTTTTCCTTCTTTCCTTCTGTTTTCTCTCTGATTTTCCTGGGAAAGTGAAAATTCTTGTTTGGTTGAGCACTTCAGATTGAAGCCGGAGTCATTAAGATTTGGTTTGGACAGCCATTTTTGCCACGTCTTGCACGCCAGACTGATGATATTGCAGCTTTCTTGCTCCTTCTTTAATCTTGGTCCTTTGTGAAATGACACCTGACTTTGTGTCTTAATTAACCTATGACCTCTCTGCACCATAATTATAACTTGTCTATCACTTCAATCAGTCAAAGGATGGTAATTTTAGGTGCTTATTAGATCAATCCCTTCCTTATTTGAAGTTGGAATCAATTTGACTTGTCATTTGTAATTTTTTTGTATTCGAAAACTTATTAGGTGGATCAAAGTTCAATATGTATCAAGGGTATGCCATATTTTCTTGCTCAATCCTTGTCAAATTTCATAATCTTTTTGTTTCTTTATAAGTTTTTAATTTTATATTTCTGCTCATTTTTAATATGTAAAAAAATAACGATTAGAAATGAAGATAACATTTATACTCAACCTATTTTCCTATATGTACCTCAATCTCAATAAATTAATATATATTATTTTGGTTTTATTGACGTAATAAAGAGGTGACAACTATTTGTTTAATTTAAATTGAAATCTCTCTTCCATCGATTTATATAAAAAAGTATAATTGGGCAAGGCTTTGTTTTTTTTGCAAGTTTTAATTAAGTACATGTGCTCATAGTAAAGCATTATGAAATTTAAAAGATATCTCTATATGACTTGGTAGATTGTATGAAATTCAAACTCTGACAAAAAACTATAAAATTCTAGTTTCATTATAGTGACATGGAAATGATCAAAGTTCAACCCAGCTTGACTTGTTGATGGCTTTGTGCCTTAGGTTCCCCATTACAATGCCTTTCTCCACCCAAAATCAGGAAAAGCACAAGCATACCTAAATTCTGTCATATTCCCCTCTGAACACATTTCTATGATAGTGCTAGATTTCTTTACATTTGGAATTATAAGTCTCACCACATTTCCGGGCTTCCATTCTCTCTTTAGTCTTTTCCTTGCACAGAGAGAGAGAGAGTTGGGTAGATTTTGAACTTGTTGAGACTAGTACATGATGACTTTTATTGAAATGAAAAAGTATTTGTCTTACAAATTTTAGTTATCGGGTTATAAGAAAATTTAACAAACAAGACACCAAGCCACCAACACAATTGAATTATGAGTATACATAAAATGATAGGATCGGAATAAAACAGACACCAATTGTTTTTATAATCCTAATCTAAAGCCACCAACACAGGGTGCTGACTGTGCCACAATAAATATTTTTACTTAAAAGATTGACTCCTTAAGTAACACTTTGATTCCTTTGTCTCAAGTTGGTAGAAACATTAAAAATTAGTATGTGTGTTTGTGTTTTTTTTGTATTATGATCATGGATATTTTCACTAGTTAATCTCGTCCTCAATTTGGTCGAAAAACTATGAAATTCATATGAATAATTCCTTATTTGGTTTTAAGTTTTGAATTTAAAATGACCAGTCTATTTTCGCCTCTATTTGGATTAAAAAAATTAGGTTGTGAGATAGTCAATTGTACGGTGGGGGTTGTTCCACGTTAGATAGTCAACGGCTTATCGTCATCCAGTCATGTTCAAGTGGGTCATTTAGGCATAGTTTGAAAAAAAAAAAATTTAGAATCTTCAAAGGAACATAACTAACACTTGCAAAACACATTGCTAGTTGTGGAAAACGGGTCCCATATGTTTAGCTTTGACCCACCACATGTGTTTGGAACTTTCATACTCCATCTACATTTATTTAAATGTGCCTATTATATAGGAGAAACTTTCGATATTAAAGAATAAAATATATAATTTATGATTTGAAGTTTTGAACAAGTTAAAGCTACAAGTTAATGGGTCCAATTTGTTAACATCATAACTTCTTAGTTTTTTTCGTTCATAATCAAGGGTGTTCGGGTCTACTTATGCACACCTCGATTATTCTCTTTTTGTTCCGATCAAAAATAGTTCATCCACGTCGAGATTAAGATATTCAATTACTTATATCACTTTATAAGAAATTTATGTGAATTTCTATATCGATAATGCTTTTGTATCATGTATGGGATCCCTTATATTCCATTACTTCAATTACTTATATCACTTATATGAAATTTATGTGAATTTCAATATCGTTAATACTTTTGAATCATATTTGTCGATTCTTAATTTGGTTCGATTCATCCTTTTTAAATTTTCAGGCAAATACAAAAAATGTAAAAGCCCCAACCCACATGTATGGGATCCTTTGGTTCAAAACACACACACACACATATATATATATAGAGAGAGAGAGAGGGAGTTCACATTAAGAACTCACTTGTGTCACTCAATGGACTAACACAAAGAAAGCACATGGGCACCAAAGCCCTATTGTGGTAGGTTAGATTTCTTTAAGTGTGATTAATTTATTAATTATGCTTGTTAGGCAAAGAACAAAAACCTAATCATATCCATGATTGGTCTCATGTGTTGCCACGTCACTAGGGTTCTACATCACGTGTATCCATGATCGTATCCTCAATCCTAGATATAAGTAGGACCAACGATGATTAAATTAATTTTCATGCTTTTAAGTAAAGTGATTTTCTTTTATTGATTAAAAGTGTTGTTTATCTTAAATAGTACAATTGATGTAGGATCTTACTAATGACATTTTATTTTAGGATAAAGTTTTTGAAAAAATTTTACGTGTTTTAATTTAAAGATAACATGATTAACAAATTAATCGGGTTACTATCAAAATGTTTTTCTATATCATTTAAACATAGAGGTCTTCCCTCCATTTTTTTAATTTTTTTTTTCTTTTTCTAAGATTTTAATTTCCCTCTATTTTATTATCAAAATGTTTTTCTTTAACATTCAAACAAGATTTTCTCTAATCAAAATCTTTAAGAATCATACATTTTAAAATATTATATATCTAAATTTATTTCATGTTTATAATAATGATTACCAGCACATGACGAAATTATAAGATTTTGGGACTTTTTTAAATTATTTATTTTATAAAAGAGTAAATCTAACACAACCTCGCATGACATGACAAAATTAATTAATGAATTGAGTATAAATAAAAAAAATATATAACACGAACTCAATATTATAATATTCGTTATATATAAATTAATAATAAATTAAATACGAATAAAATAATTTTTTAACATGAATTTAATAATACTCCAGACAAATCCGCCTAA